TTGGTTTATATTTTTATTATTTTATTGTTTCCCTATCTACGTGGTGGTGACTTTACCGAAAGAACCAGCACTACTACCACCACTACCACCACTACTACCACTACTACCACCACTACCACTACTACTACCACTACTACTACCACTACTACCACCACTAATACCACCACTACCACCACAACTACCACTACTACCACCATTACTACTACCACCACTATTACCACCACTACTACCACCACTACTACCACTACTACCACAACCACTACCACCACTACTACCACAACCACTACCACCACCACTACTACTACCACTACTACTACCACCACTACCACTACTACTACCACTACTACTACCACTACTACCACCACTAATACCACCACTACCACCACTACTACCACTACTACCACCATTACTACTACCACCACTACCACTACTACTACCACCACTACTACTACCACTACTACCACCACTACCACTACTACCACCACTACCACTACTACCACCACTACCACCACTACCACTACTACTACCACTACTACCACTACTACTACCACCACTACTACCACTACTACCACCACTACCACTACTACCACTACTACTACCACTACTACCACTACTACTACCACCACTACTACCACCACTACTACCACTACTACCACCACTACCACTACTACTACCACCACTACTACCACTACTACTACTACCACCACTACTACCACTACTACTACCACTACTACTACCACCACTACTACCACTACTACTACCACCACTACTACCACTACTACTACCACCACTACTACCACTACTACTACCACCACTACTACCATTACTACCACAACCACTACCACCACTACTACCACAACCACTACCACCACTACTACCACCACTACTACCACTACTACTACCACCACTACTACCACTACTACTACCACTACTACCACCACTACTACCACTACTACTACCACCACTACTACCACTACTACTACCACTACTACTACCACTACTACTACTACCACTACTACTACCACTACTACTACCACCACTACTACCACTACTACTACCACTACTACTACAACCACGACCACCACTACTACCACAACCACTACCACCACTACTACCACCACTACTACCACTACTACTACCACCACTACTACCACTACTACTACCACTACTACTACCACCACTACTACCACTACTACTACCACTACTACTACAACCACTACCACCACTACTACCACAACCACTACCACCACTACTACCACCACTACTACCACTACTACTACCACCACTACTACCACTACTACTACCACTACTACCACTACTACTACCACTACTACCACTACTACTACCACCACTACTACCACCAATACTACCACTACTACTACCACTACTACTACCACCACTACTACCACTACTACTACCACCACTATTACCACCACTACTACCACGAATACTACCACCACTACTACCACTACTACTACCACCACTACTACCACTACTACTACCACCACTACTACCACTACTACTACCACCACTACTACCACCACTACTACTACCACCACTATTACCACCACTACTACCACTACTACTACCACCACTACTACCACTACTACTACCACAACTACTACCACTACTACCACTACTACTACCACTACTACTACCACTACTACTACCACCACTACCACCACTACTACCACCACTACCACCACTACTACCACTACTACTACCACAACCACTACCACCACTACTACCACCACTACTACCACCACTACCACTACTACCACCACTACTACTACCACCACTACTACCACTACTACTACCACCACTACTACCACTACTACTACCATCACTACTACCACTACTACTACCACCACTATTACCACCACTACTACCACTACTACTACCACTACTACTACCACCACTACCACCACTACTACCACCACTACCACCACTACTACCACTACTACTACCACAACCACTACCACCACTACTACCACCACTACTACCACCACTACCACTACTACCACCACTACCACTACTACCACCAATACTACCACTACTACTACCACCACTACTACCACTACTACTACCACCACTACTACCACTACTACTACCACCACTATTACCACCACTACTACCACTACTACTACCACCACTACTACCACTACTACTACCACTACTACCACAACTACTACCACTACTACCACTACTACTACCACTACTACTACCACTACTACTACCACCACTACCACCACTACTACCACCACTACCACCACTACTACCACTACTACTACCACCACTACCACCACTACTACCACCACTACCACCACTACTACCACCACTACCACCACTACTACCACCACTACCACCACTACTACCACTACTACTACCACTACTACCACCACCACTACCACCACTACCACCACTACTACTACCACCACTACTACCACCACTACTACTACCACCACTATTACCACCACTACTACCACTACTACTACCACCACTACTACCACTACTACTACCACAACTACTACCACTACTACCACTACTACTACCACTACTACTACCACTACTACTACCACCACTACCACCACTACTACCACCACTACCACCACTACTACCACTACTACTACCACAACCACTACCACCACTACTACCACCACTACTACCACCACTACCACTACTACCACCACTACCACTACTACTACCACCACTACTACCACTACTACTACCACCACTACTACCACTACTACTACCATCACTACTACCACTACTACTACCACCACTACCACTACTACTACCACCACTACTACCACTACTACTACCACTACTACCACAACTACTACCACTACTACCACTACTACTACCACTACTACTACCACCACTACCACCACTACTACCACCACTACCACCACTACTACCACTACTACTACCACAACCACTACCACCACTACTACCACCACTACTACCACCACTACCACTACTACCACCACTACCACTACTACCACCACTACTACCACTACTACTACCACCACTACTACCACTACTACTACCACCACTACTACCACTACTACTACCACCACTATTACCACCACTACTACCACTACTACTACCACCACTACTACCACTACTACTACCACTACTACTACAACTACTACCACTACTACCACTACTACTACCACTACTACTACCACTACTACTACCACCACTACCACCACTACTACCACCACTACCACCACTACTACCACTACTACTACCACCACTACCACCACTACTACCACCACTACCACCACTACCACCACTACTACCACCACTACCACCACTACCACCACTACTACCACTACTACTACCACTACTACCACCACCACTACCACCACTACCACCACTACTACCACCACTACCACCACTACTACCACCACTACTACCACTACTATCACTACCACTACCACCACTACCACTACTACCACCACTACCACTACTACCACCACTACTACCACTACTACTACCACCACTACTACCACTACTACTACCACCACCACTACTACCACTACTACTACCACCACTATTACCACCACTACTACCACCACTACTACCACTACTACTACCACTACTACCACAACTACTACCACTACTACCACTACTACTACCACTACTACTACCACTACTACTACCACCACTACTACCACTACTACCACTACTACTACCACCACTACCACCACTACTACCACCACTACCACCACTACTACCACCACTACCACCACTACTACCACCACTACTACCACTACTACCACCACCACTACCACCACTACCACCACTACTACTACCACCACTACTACCACCACTACTACTACCACCACTATTACCACCACTACTACCACTACTACTACTACCACCACTACTACCACTACTACTACCACAACTACTACCACTACTACCACTACTACTACCACTACTACTACCACTACTACTACCACCACTACCACCACTACTACCACCACTACCACCACTACTACCACCACTACCACCACTACCACCACTACTACCACTACTACCACTACTACTACCACCACTACCACCACTACTACCACCACTACCACCACTACTACCACTACTACCACTACTACTACCACTACTACTACCACAACCACTACCACCACTACTACCACCACTACTACCACCACTACCACTACTACCACCACTACTACTACCACCACTACTACCACTACTACTACCACCACTACTACCACTACTACTACCATCACTACTACCACTACTACTACCACCACTATTACCACCACTACTACCACTACTACTACCACCACTACTACCACTACTACTACCACTACTACCACAACTACTACCACTACTACCACTACTACTACCACTACTACTACCACCACTACCACCACTACTACCACCACTACCACCACTACTACCACTACTACTACCACAACCACTACCACCACTACCACTACTACCACCACTACCACTACTACCACCACTACCACTACTACCACCACTACTACCACTACTACTACCACCACTACTACCACTACTACCACTACTACTACCACCACTACTACCACTACTACCACAACTACTACCACTACTACCACTACTACTACCACTACTACTACCACTACTACTACCACCACTACCACCACTACTACCACCACTACCACCACTACTACCACTACTACTACCACCACTACCACCACTACTACCACCACTACCACCACTACCACCACTACTACCACCACTACCACCACTACTACCACCACTACCACCACTACTACCACTACTACTACCACTACTACCACCACCACTACCACCACTACCACCACTACTACCACCACTACCACCACTACTACCACCACTACCACTACTATCACTACCACTACCACCACTACCACCACTACCACCACTACCACCACAACCACCACTACTCTAATGATAGTTGTGGTGGTGATGTTGTTGATGGTGTGGTTGTTGTTGTTGTGCAGGTGAATCGCTGTGATGTCACCGTGGTGGTGTTCTTCATCATGCCTGCCAAGACCAACAACTTCAACGTGGAGACCCTCAAGGGGCAGGCGGTGCGGAAGCAGCTCTGGTGAGGGGGGGGGGTGTAGCAGGGGGGGGTGGTGGTGAGGGGGGGGGCATGGGGGGGGTGGGGGGTGCATGGGGGGGGTGAGGGGGGGGGTGGTGGTGAGGGGGAGGGGCACGGGGGTGTTGGTGGTGGTGAGGGGCGCCGTCCTTGCTTGGCAGTGTTCACTCACGCGCTGTCCTTCTGGACAGTCGTGTCTCTTCACCTGAGCAAGGCTACTTGTGTTGTGGCAGAAACGTCGTGAGAAATTCTATTTTATTTTATTATGTTTAGTTATTTTATTGTTTCCATTCTACGTGGTGGTGACTTTACCGAAAGAACCAAGAATAACAATTTTATTGTTTTACAATAATTTTATTGTTTTACAATAATTTAATTGTTTTATATTTTTATTATTTTATTGTTTCCCTATCTACGTGGTGGTGACTTTACCGAAAGAACCAAGAATAATAATTTTATTGTTTTACAATAATTTTATTGTTTTATATTTTTATTATTGTATTGTTTCCCTATCTACGTGGTGGTGACTTTACCGAAAGAACCAAGAATAATAATTTTATTGTTTTATGTTTTTGTTATTTTATTGTTTCCCTATCTACGCGGTGGTGACTTTACCGAAAGAACCAATAATATTAATCCCTGCAGTCACGAAAGCTTCACATCAAAAGAGATGAAAGTTATCGCACTAACTCTGTGCCTCATCAAACAAAGCGCGGCCTCACCAAAACGTTTTTGGAGATCGCCGAAAATACATCCATGAAAGCGACGTGTGACGGTGGTCTCGGGAGCTGTGATTTTAAATGTCGCAATGAACGATCTGCACGTAACACGTACGACCAAACTTTGCGGCCATAGCTGGCAGCCTGAGTCACTCCATAACGGCAGGAGAATCAAAACATTTTTCAATGCACCTTTAAAGATCAGCGCACTGTAATCAAAACTCAAGCTCATGCTGAATGCGGCGGTCATCCGGAGCGATACGTTTCATTGCAGGCCACCCTGCATGGCAGTGGCAGCTAGCGGTGTTCAGCTCCTCTAGAGCAGTTTTTCGAGTGAAGATCTCACAGGTATAGTGTGATCCAAGTTGCAGTTTATTGGCGAAAGCGTTCCAGACCCCGGGGGCATCAACAGCAAAGGCCCTTCCTCCGGTATTTGTACGGCAATAGGGAATGTGAAGCTGGTAAATGAGCGAAGACCTTAGGTCACATTGGTTCTTCGAAACAGTGAGGAGATCCAGCAGCAGGTAGTCTGCGGATTTCTTTGTAAGTACGTCGTGAATAAATAAGATCTGAGCAACAAGCCGTCGATCATTAAGAGATGTTAAGTTTGACCCAATGTAGAGATCGCAGTGGTGAGTCCTATATGGGAAGTTCAATGCAAATCTTAAGGCCGAGTGATAGATGGAATCAAGCTTCTTCAGTACAGTACTGTGGGCTGATTTATACACGATGTCACAGTAGTCAAGTAGAGGCAGTATGGTAGCTTTTATCAATTCAATGGTGAGGGGGAGGACGTGGAGCTGAGTGGACTTGCCGGCGGTGGCGAGATCGGCCTCTGTGGAGGAGGCTCGTGAAGGGCGCTGCTGCTGGGCAGTGCCAGGCTAGGTGCACCGTGAGGCTGATGGGCAGTTGGAGGCGGTCGCCCCTCCAGCGACAACAGCGGAGGGGCAGAGGAGCGACGCTGCTCACAACAACGGGCGGAGCGCCGGGCGGATAAAACGCTGCAAGTTGGCACAGTAGGGGAAACAGCTGCACCTAGCCTGGCACAGCAGTCAGCCCATGGCACCGGTTGGGTCTGTCCCGTGACCTCCTGCTGCACCTAGCCTGGCACAGCAGTCAACCCATGGCACCTGCTGGGTCTGTCCCCTTGACATCCTCCTGCACCTAGCCTGGCACAGCAGTCAACCCATGGCACCTGCTGGGTCTGTCTCGTGACCTCCTCCTGCACCTAGCCTGGCACAGCAGTCAACCCATGGCACCTGCTGGGTCTGTCCCGTGACCTCCTCCTGCACCTAGCCTGGCACAACAGTCAACCCATGGCACCTGCAGGGTCTGTCCAGTGACCACCTCCTCCTGCACCTAGCCTGGCACAACAGTCAACGGTTGTGTTTGATGGTGGCTGTTGTTGTTGACGGCAGTTGTTGTTGTTGTGGCTGTGGTGGTTGTTGTTCACCCACCAGGGACACGGCTCACCTGGTGAAGGAGAAGTTTGGCAAGAAGCTGTACGAGTCGCTGCTCGCGTGAGTCCACACACACACACAGACACACACAGAGACACACACACACAGACACACACACAGACACACACAGACACACTCAGACACACACACACAGACACAGACACACACACAGACACACACACACAAACACACACAGACACACACACACGCAGACACACACACACGCAGATACACACACACACAGACACACGCAAACACACAGACACACACAGATGCACACACATACACACACAGACACACACACAGACACACACAGACACACACACAGACACACAGACACACACACAAACACACACAGACACACACAGATGCACACACAGACACACACAGACACAGACGCACAGACACACACACAGACACACAACGACAACAACAACAACCGCCATTCGCCACTAAGGGGCGGTGACGTCACCACGACGCTTGTGCCAGACCATGTGCACCCTGAGGCCACGTGAAGTGTCGAACGCCTGCTGGAAGGAGGTCACGGGGCAGGCCCAGCTGCCACGGGTCGACTGACTGAGATGACTGGCTGGTGCACCACCTGTGCCCCCTACTGTGCCAACTTGCTGTGCTTTAGCCACCCGGCGCTCCGCTCGTTGTTGTGAGCGTCGCTCCTCCGCCCTCCATTGCCTCCAACTGCCCAGTAGCGTCCTTCACGAGCACTCCTCCACAGAGGCCAATCTTGACACCGCTGGTACCGGTCATCGGCAAGTCCACTCAGCTCCACGTCCTCCTGTATCACGTCACTCCATCTCTTCTCTAGCCTGTGCCGTGCCCATTTCTCCCCCTCGATCCGGCCGAACAAAAGCTGTTTAGGCATGCGGTGGCTGGGCATGCGGGCTACATGACCCAGCCAACGCAGCCTTGCCTGCCGGAGGAGCTCACCGATGGGACTTTGTCCAGATCTTTCAAGGATTTGTGAGCTCACACAATCCACCCTGGATAAACCCAGGATGGATCGTAGGTAGGCCAGCCTAAATGTTTTTAACCGGCGAAGATGTTCCATTGGGGGGGGTCCACGTTTCGCAAGCATAGAGAAGGGAGGGAATGACCGTGGCCGAGAACACCTGAAGCTTCGTGCGGAGCGACAGACCAGGTAACTTCCACGCAGCATTACGCAACCGATGAAAAGATATTGCCGCTCGACTGATTCGGAGTGAGACCTCTGCTGGTAAACTGGAGCCAGTCATGAGCACACTGCCCAGGTATGGGAAACTCTCCACTCTCTCCACAACTGCCCTATCACCAATTGGGAGTTGTTGGGGTGGAGTGCCCGATGGTACAAAATACCCAGACAGGTGCTTAGTTTTGGTGGGGCTGATGGTAAGGCCCCACCTCTTAGTGGCAAGCTCCAGGTTCAGTAGCAGCGCCTCCAACTCCTCCTCTGAGTGAGCAGCAATTACCAGATCATCGGCATACGTAACATGGTTGAGCAATATGGAGCCATCCCTTGACCGCACCCGGGCATCGATCAGCCTCCTATTGTATCTGTACCAGATTGAAATTCCTCCGGTACAGCTATTGAAGGCTTCAAGAACTACGTGGTCGAAATAGATGTTAAATAATGTGGGAGCCAGAGGACATCCCTTTCGCACCCCAAGGTGTACAGGGAATGGCTCCGACTCCCGGCCACGTAGTTTTAGCCGGGCCCGCTCACCATCATGAAGGTCCTTAATGATCGTGAGCAGAGGGTCAGGGACTCCAAAAGCACGAAGAACAACCCAGAGCCCAGGCCTACTGATGGTATCATAGACCTTGACCAGGTCAATAAAGCAGAGATGTAGGTCTTGTTGGAATTCCCTACACCTCTGCTGTAGCAGACGGACAGAAAATATGGCATCTGTGCAGGACCGCCCCTTCCTGAAACCGCATTGGGGCTCCGCAAGCCTCTCCTCAGCGTGCCTGGCAAGGCGATGTTGAATAATCCTTGCCAGGACCTTTCCCGGCACACATGAGGAGTGAGATGCCCCTGTAGTTGTTACAGTCTGAGTGGTCCCCCTTCTTAAAGACGCGGGACCACCAGGGCATCCTTCCAATCCTGCGGAACCCATCCAGTGGCCCAGACTGTTGTTATGATGTCATGTAGGGCAGTCTGTGCACAAACGCCACCCTCCCTCAGCATTTCGCTTGGGAGATCACCTCTGCCCAGTGCCTTTCCTGGTCTCAGACTCTGGATCGCCTTCAGTACTTCCTCAACAGAGGGCACCTCAGCCTGCCACTCACAGGGGTGACTTCCTCCAATATTTGAGGCACCACAGCCTCAGCAGGATCATCCCCACTTTGTCCCACGATGTTTTCCTGGCTGAGGGATTTTCCCTCTCCCAAGACCTCACAGAAATGCTCAGCAAATCTGCAAACCTCTATCCCGAGGGGTCACTTTAGCCAGCACCTGAGACAGGAGGTCATCGAAGGCATCTGACTCATCGGCCTTGCCTGCATCCCTTCACGGATGTTCGTCTTCGGTGGGGGCATAAGTAACCACGACCACCACTCCTCGCCTGTGGTTGATGGGAAGGCAAGCCCAAAGTAGCCTGGGGCTTACAGCTTCCCACACCTCACCGCCTCGCTCCCACGCCCCCTTCATTATTTTGTTCAGAAGAAGAGCCACTCCCTGTTGTTTGGCAGTCTGCTGCCCCGAGTAGAGGACTGTCCACCCCTCATGGTGGCAGGAGCCAGAGCCGGTCCACCGGACCTCCTGAATGCCGCAGAGATCCAGGCGGTACCGGTCCAGCTCCCGACAGAGGAGTGGTAGCCTCTCCTCCGCAGTGAGCGTTCGAACATTCCACGTGGCCACACGAAGTGGCTTTTTGTTGTTTCTGGAGGAGCCCCGAGGGTAGATATTCAATCTCCTGGCACACACAAAGATAAAGACAAAGATCCCCCGTATAGCCTGAACAGACTGTAGGGGCAAGTGCTGTTAGCGAGCACCTATGAAGGCCGGAACAGTACACGAGGGGGTGGGTGGCCAGCACCACGCCCGACCGCCTTTGTCTCCCTAGTGGCAATGTTTACACACCGCACCAGGTACTCATTTTGAGGCTGAGTCGACCTAGGGGAGGCCCGGGACCGGTTCAGATAATCGTCACTGGTGTTGGCCGTGAGCGGGAATCGAACCCGGGTCGCCAGGTTCATAGCGCAGCGCGCTAACCGCTACACTATCGACTGACTGAGATGACTGGCTGGTGCACCACCTGTGCCCCCTACTGTGCCAACCTGCTGTGCTTTAGCCACCCGGCGCTCCGCTCGTTGTTTTGACCGTCGCTCCTCCGCCCTCCGTTGTTGTTGGAGGGCGACTGCCTCCAACTGCCCAGTAGCGTCGTTCACGAGCCTCCTCCACAGAGGCCGATCTTGACACCGCTGGTACCAGTCATCGGAAAGTCCACTCAGCTCCACGTCCTCCTGTGCCACATCACTCCATCTCTTCTCTAGCCCGTTCCGCGCCCGTTTAGCCCCCTCGATCCGGCCGAACACAAGCTGTTTAGGCATGCGGTGGCTGCGCATGCGGGCTACATGACCCAGCCACATAGACACACAGACACAGAGACACAGACATAGACACACACAGACACAACAACAACCGCCATTCGCCACTAAGTGGCGGTGACGTCACCACGACGCTTGTGCCAGGCCATGTACACCTTGAGGCCACACAGACACACACACAGACACACACAGACACACACACACATAGACACACAGACACACAGACAAGACGCAGAGAGACACAGACACACATACATAGATACAGACTATGAGTGACTGTGACTATGACTATGGTGACTGTGACTATTAGTGACTATGAGTGACTATGACTATGGTGACTATGAGTGACTATGAGTGACTGTGACTTTGACTATGGTGACTGTGACTATGAGTGACTATGAGTGACTGTGACTTTGACTATGAGTGACTATGACTATGAGTGACTATGACTATGAGTGACTATGAGTGACTGAGTGACTATGACTATGAGTGACTATGACTATGAGTGACTATGAGTGACTGAGTGACTATGACTATGAGTGACTATGAGTGACTAAGACTATGAGTGACTATGAGTGACTATGAGTGACTGAGTGACTGACTATGAGTGACTATGAGTATGAGTCACTGAGTGACTATGACTATGAGTGACTATGAGTGACTGACTATGAGTGACTATGAGTGACTGACTATGAGTGACTATGACTATGAGTGACTATGAGTGACTATGACTATGGTGACTATGACTATGAGTGACTGAGTGACTATGACTATGGTGACTATGAGTGATTATGACTATGAGTGACTATGAGTGACTATGACTATGCGTGACTGAGTGACTGACTATGAGTGACTGAGTTGCTATGACTATGAGTGACTATGAGTGATTATGACTATGAGTGACTATGAGTGACTATGAGTGACTATGACTATGCGTGACTGAGTGACTATGAGTGACTATGAGTGACTATGAGTATGAGTGACTGAGTGACTGACTATGAGTGACTGAGTGGCTATGACTATGAGTGACTGTGACTATGACTATGAGTGACTATGAGTGACTATGACTATGAGTGACTATGAGTGACTATGACTATGAGTGACTATGAGTGACTATGACTATGAGTGACTATGAGTGACTAAGACTATGAGTGACTATGAGTGACTGAGTGACTATGACTATGAGTGACTATGAGTGACTGACTATGAGTGACTATGAGTATGAGTCACTGAGTGACTATGACTATGAGTGACTATGAGTGACTGACTATGAGTGACTATGAGTGACTGAGTGACTATGACTATGAGTGACTATGACTATGAGTGACTAAGACTATGAGTGACTATGAGTGACTGAGTGACTATGAGTGACTATGACTATGAGTGACTATGACTATGAGTGACTGTGACTGAGTGACTATGACTATGAGTGACTATGACTATGAGTGACTATGAGTGACTAAGACTATGAGTGACTATGAGTGACTATGAGTGACTGTGACTGAGTGACTATGACTATGAGTGACTATGACTATGAGTGACTATGAGTGACTAAGACTATGAGTGACTATGAGTGACTATGAGTGACTGAGTGACTATGACTATGAGTGACTATGACTATGAGTGACTATGAGTGACTATGAGTGACTGAGTGGCTATGACTATGAGTGACTATTAGTGACTATGACTATGAGTGACTATTAGTGACTATGACTATGAGTGACTATGAGTGACTATGACTATGAGTGACTATGAGTAACTATGACTATGAGTGACTAAGAGTGACTAAGAGTGACTGGCTGTGACTGTGGCGGTGATATTCAGAGGCTCCATGCCAGACATGGAGACCATGCTGGATAAAGAGGACTTCAACTTGATGAAGAGAGCAATCTTCGCCACACAGGTACCACGCTACACTATACACTACACACAACACTATACACTACACTATACACTACACACAACACTATACACTACACTATACACTATACACTACACTATACACTACTATACACTACACTATACACTACACTATACACTACACTACTATACACTACACACTACACTACACTACACACTACACTACACTACACACTACACTACACTATACACTACACTATACACTACACTACTATACACTACACTACTATACACTACACTACTATACACTACACTACTATACACTACACTATACACTACTATACACTACATTATACACCACTACTATACACTACACTATACACTACACTAGTATACACTACACTAGTATACACTACACTAGTATACACTACACTAGTATACACTACACTATACACTACACTATACACTACACTACTATACACTACACTACTATACACTACACTATACACTACACTACTATACACTAAACTACACACTACATTACTATACACTACACTACTATACACTACACACTACACTACACTATACACTACACTACTATACACTGCACTACTATACACTACACTACACACTACAATATACACTACACTATACACTACACTACTATACACTACACTATACACTACACTACTATACACTACTATACACTACACTACTATACACTACACTACTATACGCTACACTATACACTACTGTACACTACACTTTACACTACACTATACACTACACTATACACTACTATACTCTACACTATTATACACTACACTATACACTACACTATACACTACACTACTATACACTACACTATACACTACACTATAATACACTATACTATACAACACTATACTCTGCACTACATTTTACACTCTACTACAATAAACTTTACTCTACTAAAACTAAACCACTTTTATCTTGCCAGGTGTAAGGCCCCAATTAGCTGTGTAGCACAGAGACCCATAGAGACCCATAGAGACCCATAGAGACCCACAGAGACCCACAGAGACCCGTAGAGACCCACAGAGACCCACAGAGACCCACAGAGGCCCATAGAGACCCACAGAGGCCCATAGAGACCCACAGAGACCCATAGAGACCCACAGAGACCCATAGAGTCCCACAGAGACCCACAGAGACCCATAGAGACCTACAGAGGCCCATAGAGACCCACAGAGACCCACAGAGACCCACGGAGACCCACAGAGACCTACAGAGGCCCATAGAGACCCATAGAGACCCACAGAGACCCACAGAGGCCCATAGAGACCCATAGAGACCCACACTCATAGAGACCCACAGAGACCCATAGAGACCCACAGAGACCTACAGGGGGCCCATAGAGACCCATAGAGACCCACAGAGACCCATAGAGACCCACAGAGACCTACAGAGGCCCATAGAGACCCATAGAGACCCACAGAGACCCATAGAGACCCACAGAGACCCACAGAGGCCCATAGAGACCCATAGAGACCTACAGAGACCTACAGAGGCCCATAGAGACCCATAGAGACCCACAGAGACCTACAGAGGCCCATAGAGACCCACAGAGACCCACAGAGACCCATAGAGACCCACAGAGACCCACAGAGGCCCACAGAGACCCACAGAGACCCACAGAGACCCATAGAGACCCACAGAGACCCATAGAGACCCACCGAGACCTACAGAGGCCCATAGAGACCCACAGAGACCCACAGAGGCCCATAGAGACCCATAGAGACCCACAGAGACCCACAGAGACCCATAGAGACCCATAGAGACCCACAGAGACCGACAGAGACCCATAGAGACCCACAGAGACCCACAGAGACCCATAGAGACCCACAGAGACCCACAGAGACGCATAGAGACCCATAGAGACCCAGAGAGACCCATAGAGACCCACAGAGACCCTTAGAGTCCCACACTCATAGAGACCCACAGAGACCCACAGAGACCCATAGAGTCCCACAGAGACCCATAAAGACCCATAAAGACCCATAGAGACCCATAGAGACCTATAGAGACCACACTGATAGAGACCCATGGAGACCCACAGAGACCCACAGAGACCCATAGAAACCCACAGAGACCCATAGAGTCCCACAGAGACCCACAGAGACCCACAGAGACCCATAGAGACCCATAGACATCCATAGAGACCCACAGAGTCCCACAGAGACCCACAGAGACCCATAGAGACCCACGGAGACCTATAGAGACCAACAGAGACCCACAGAGACCCACAGAGACCCATAGAGACCCATAGAGGCCCATTAGAGACCCATAGAGACCCATAGAGGCCCACAGAGACCCATAGAGACCCACAATCATAGAGACCCATAGAGACCCTTAGAGACCCACACTCACAGAGACCCACAGAGACCCACAGAGACCCACAGAGACCCATAGAGACTCACAGAGACCCATAGAGACCCACACTCATAGAGACCCACAGAGACACACAGAGACCCATAGAGACCTACAGAGACCCACAGAGTCCCGTAGAGAACCATAGAGACCCACAGAGACCCACAGAGACCTATAGAGACCCCCAGAGACCCACAGAGACCCACAGAGTGCCATAGAGACCCACAGAGACCCACAGAGACCCACAGAGACCCACAGAGACCCACAGAGACCCATAGAGACCCACAGAGACCCATAGATACCCACAAAGGCCCATAGAGACCCACAGAGACCCACGGAGACCCACAGAGACCCATAGAGACCCACAAAGGCCCATAGAGACCCATAGAGACCCTTAGAGACCCTTAGAGACCCACACTCACAGAGACCCATAGAGACCCCCAGAGACCCCCAGAGACCCACAGAGACCCACAGAGTCCCATAGAGACCCACAGAGACCCACAGAGACCCATAGAGACCCACAGAGAACCACAGAGACTCATAGAGACCCACAGAGACCCACAGAGACCCATAGAGACGCACAGAGACTCATAGAGACCCTTAGAGACCCACAGAGACCCACAGAGACCCACAAAGGCCCATAGAGACCCACAGAGACCCACAGAGAACCACAGAGACCCATAGAGACCCACAAAGGCCCATAGAGACCCACAAAGGCCCATAGAGACCCATAGAGACCCTTAGAGACCCTTAGAGACCCACACTCACAGAGACCCATAGAGACCCCCAGAGACCCACAGAGACCCACAGAGTCCCATAGAGGCCCACAGAGACCCACAGAGACCCATAGAGACCCACAGAGAACCACAGAGACTCATAGAGACCCACAGAGACCCACAGAGACCCATAGAGACGCACAGAGACTCATAGAGACCCTTAGAGACCCACAGAGACCCACAGAGACCCACAAAGGCCCATAGAGACCCACAGAGACCCACAGAGAACCACAGAGACCCATAGAGACCCACAAAGGCCCATAGAGACCCATAGAAACCCTTAGAGACCCACACTCACAGAGACCCATAGAGACCCATAGAGACCCATAGAGACCCACAGAGGCCCATAGAAACCCATAGAGTCGCATAGAGACCCACAGCGACCCACAGAGGCCCATAGAGACACATAGAGACCCACAGAGACCCATAGAGACCCACAGACCCATAGAGACCCACACTCATAGAGACCCACAGAGACCCACAGAGACCCATAGAGATCCACAGAGACCCATAGAGACCCACAGAGACCCACAGAGACCCATAGAGACCCATAGAGACCCACAGAGACCCACAGAGGCCCACAGAGACCCACAAAGGCCCATAGAGACCCATAGAGACCCACAGAGACCCATAGAGACCCACAGACCCATAGAGACCCACACTCATAGAGACCCACAGAGACCCACAGAGACCCATAGAGATCCACAGAGACCCATAGAGACCCACAGAGACCCATAGAGACCCACAGAGACCCATAGAGACCCACAGAGACCCACAGAGACCCACAGAGGCCCATAGAGACCCACAGAGACCCACAGAGACCCACAGAGACCCACACTCACAGAGACCCACAGAGACCCACAGAGACCCACAGAGACCCATAGAGACCCATAGAGCCCCACAGAGACCCACAGAGACCCACAGAGGCCCATAGAGACCCATAGAGACCCACAGAGACCCACAGAGACCCATAGAGACCCACAGAGACCCATAGAGACCCATTCAGACCCATACTCATAGAGACCCACACTCATAGAGACCCACACTCAGAGAGACCCACAGAGACCCATAGAGACCCACACTCATAGATACCCACAGAGACTCATAGAAACCCATACTCATAGAGACCCACACTCGTAGAGACCCACACTCATGGAGACCCATACTCATAGAGACCCACACTTATAGAGACCCACACTCAGAGACCCACACTCAGAGAGACCCATACTTATAGAGGCCCATACTTATAGACACCCACACTCAGAGAGACCCATACTCATAGAGACCCACACTCATAGAGACAACAACAACAACCGCCATTCGCCACTAAGTGGCGGTGACGTCACCACGACGCTTGTGCCAGGCTATGTGCACCGTGAGGCCACGTGAAGTGTCGAACGCCCGCTGGCAGGAGGTCACTGGGCAGACCCAGGTGCCACGGGTCGACTGACTGAGATGACTGGCTGATGCACCACCTGTGCCCCCTACTGTGCCAACCTGCTGTGCTTTAGCCACCCGGCGCTCCGCTCGTTGTTCTGAGCGTCACTCCTCCGCCCTCCGTTGTTGTTGGAGGGCGACTGCCTCCAACTGCCCAGTAGCATCCTTCACGAGCCTCCTCCACAGAGGCCGATCTTGACACTGCTGGTACCAGTCATCGGCAAGTCCACTCAGCTCCACGTCCTCCTGTACCACATCACTCCATCTCTTCTCTAGCCCGTGCCGCGCCCGCTTAGCCCCCTCAATCCGGCCAAACAAAAGCTGTTTCGGCATGCGGTGGCTGGGCATGCGGGCTACATGACCCAGCCATCGCAGCCTTGCCTGCCGGAGGAGCTCACCGATGGGACCCTGCCCAGATCTTTCAAGGATTTGTGAGCTCCTCACACAATCCAGTCTGGTTAAACCCAGGATGGATCGTAGGCAGGCCAGCCTAAATGTTTCTAACCGGCGAAGATGTTCCATTAGGGGGGTCCACGTTTTGCAAGCGTAGAGAAGGGAGGGAATGACCGTGGCCGAGAACACCTGAAGCTTAGTGCGGAGCGACAGACCAGGTAGCTTCCACACAGCGTTACGCAACCGATGAAAAGATATTGCCGCTCGACTGATTCGGAGTGAGACCTCTGTTGTTAAACTGGAGCCAGTCATAAGCACACTGCCCAGGTATGGGAAACTCTCCACCCATAGAGACCCACACTCATAGAGTACCCACACTCATAGAGACCCACACTCGCAGAGACCCACACTCATAGAGACCCACACTCAGAGACCCACACTCTCAGAGACCCACACTCATAGAGACCCATACTCATTGAGACCCACACTCATAGAGACCCACACTCATAGAGACCCACACTCATAGAGACCCAACACTCATAGAGACCCACACTCATAGAGACCCACACTCATAGAGACCCATACTCACAGAGACCCACACTCATAGAGACCCACACTCATAGAGACCTCTACTAATAGAGACCCACACTCATAGAGACCCACACTCATAGAGACCTATACTAATAGAGACCCATACTCGACACTAAACAATATTTTTATTTCACCAGCTAAGCCGCACTGAGCTGCTTTGTAGCTCTTTTGCAGAAGCGACCTGGCCCATCACAAATGATAGCAGCTCTGACGTCATCATCATCATCATCACGTGGACATTTACAGCAGAGGCCAAACGCTCTGTGCGAGTGGTGACGTTGATTCTGAATGTGGAGGGGAAACCCCAGAGGGCCTGGAGTCAAATCCACGTGACCACGGATAGAGACACACACATTCTTAACGTCGTCAGGGTCGGGATGGAACCCACGACCTCCTGCGTACCAGGAGAGGTAGTCAACATCTCCTAGCCACACACACAAATATACAGCAGCAGCAGGCGTCGTCAGGGTCGGGATCGAACCCACGACCTCCTGCGTACCGGGCGAGGTAGTCAACATCTCCTAGCTGCCATGGCGCCCAGGTAAAGCTCCCCCAGGTAGCCCACTCAGACTGTCGGGGCAAGTGCTGTTAGTAGCGGGCAGCAGCAGCAGCGCTTATGAAGGCTGCCGGCACTGTGGCACACACAGAGGGGGGTGGGTGGCCAGCACCACGCCCGGCCGCCTTTGTATCCCCAGTGGCGATGCTTACTACTACACACACACCGCTACACCAGGCACTCATTCGTTGTTGTTGTTGTGGTTGTTGTTGTGACAGAGGCAGTCTCTGCCCCCTGTGTGCACACACAACATGTTGGACGATGCCTCTGACCCGGTGCTCAGCAACATTCGCCGCATCGGAATCTTCAACGACCCTGCGGACCGGGTCAAGGTGAGGGGTCACGGGGAGACAGGGAGACAGGGAGGGAGACAGACGGAGAGACAGACAGGGAGACAGACGGGGAGACAGTGAGACAGACGGGGAGACAGGGAGGAAGACAGACGGGGAGACAGACAGGGAGACAGACGGGGAGACAGTGAGACAGACGGGGAGATAGTGAGACAGACGGGGAGACAGGGAGACAGACGGGGAGACAGGGAGGGAGACAGACGGGGAGACAGACAGGGAGACAGACGGGGAGATAGTGAGACAGACGGGGAGACAGACGGGGAGACAGGGAGGGAGACAGACAGGGAGACAGACGGGAGACAGAGAGACAGATGGGGAGATAGTGAGACAGACGGGGAGACAGACGGGGAGACAGGGAGGGAGACAGACAGGGAGACAGATGGGGAGACAGAGAGACAGACGGGGAGATAGTGAGACAGACGGGGAGACAGACGGGGAGACAGGGAGACAGACGGGGAGACAGTGAGACAGACGGGGAGACAGACGGGGAGATAGTGAGACAGACAGGGAGATAGAGAGAGACAGGGAGACAGACAGGGAGACAGACAGGGAGATAGAGAGACAGACAGGGAGATAGAGAGACAGACGGGGAGACAGACGGGGAGACAGACGGGGAGACAGACGGGGAGACAGACGGGGAGACAGACGGGGAGATAGAGAGACAGACAGGGAGACAGACAGGGAGATAGAGAGACACACAGTGAGACAGACGGGGAGACAGAGAGACAGACAGGGAGACAGACAGGGAGATAGTGAGACAGACAGGGAGACAGACGGGGAGATAGAGAGACAGAGAGACAGACGGGGAGATAGAGAGACAGACAGAGAGACAGACAGCGAGACAGGGAGACAGACAGGGAGACAGACAGGGAGATAGTGAGACAGACAGGGAGATAGAGAGACAGACAGTGAGACTGACAGGGAGACAGACAGGGAGACAGACGGGGAGACAGAGAGACAGACAGGGAGACAGACGGGGAGATAGTGAGACAGACGGGGAGACAGACAGGGAGACAGGGAGATAGAGAGACAGATAGAGAGACAGACGGGAAGATAGAGAGACAGACAGGGAGACAGACAGGGAGACAGACGGGGAGACAGACGGGGAGACAGGGAGACAGGGAGGGAGACAGGGAGACAGACAGGGAGACAGACAGGGAGACAGGGAGACAGACAGGGGGGCGGAGAGACAGGGAGACAGGGAGTCTTCGTCTGGGTCTGGGTCTGGGTCTGCGTCTGGGCATGGGCCTGGGTCTGAGTCTGGGTCTGCGTCTGGGTCTCTACCCAGATCATCTTCCACCCGGAGTTCCTCTCCTCCACCTCCCCACTGCTGCCCATGGACTACGACGACTTTGTGCGCGGCTGCCACCTCGGGGTGTTCCCCTCCTACTACGAGCCCTGGGGGTACACACCAGGTGAGTGGGGGGGTCTCAGGGGGTTCACGTCTGTGTGAGACACACAGAGACACACGTGTCTCTGTGTGTCTCTACACGTGTCTCTACACGTGTAGAGACACGTGTCTCTGTGTGTCTCTACACATGTCTCTGTGTGTCTCTGTGTGTCTCTACACGTTGTCTGTTTGTGTCTCTACACGTGTCTTTGTCTGTCTCTTTGTGTCTCTACACGTGTCTCTGTGTGTCTCTGTGTGTCTTTGTGTGTCTCTACACGTGTCTCTGTGTGTCTCCGCGTGTCGCTGTGTGTCTCTACACGTGTCTCTGTGTGTCTCTGTGTGTCTCTGTGTGTCTCTGCGTGTCTCTGTGTGTCTCTGTGTGTCTCTACACGTGTCTCTGTGTGTCTCCGCGTGTCTCTGTGTGTCTCTGTGTGTCTCTACACGTGTCTCTGTGTGTCTCCGCGTGTCTCTGTGTGTCTCTGTGTGTCTCTACACGTGTCTCTGTGTGTCTCCGCGTGTCTCTGTGTGTCTCTACACGTGTCTCCGCGTGTCTCTGTGTGTCTCTGTGTGTCTCTACACGTGTCTCTGTGTGTCTCTGTGTGTCTCTGTGTGTCTCCGCGTGTCTCCGTGACGCAGCTGAGTGTACCGTCATGGGCATTCCGAGCATCTCCACCAACCTCTCCGGCTTCGGCTGCTTCATGGGGGAGCACGTAGCAGACCCCATGTCGTACGGTGAGCACCCACACCACCCACACCACCCACACCACCCACACCACCAACACCACCCACACCACCCACACCACCCACACCACCCACACCACCCACACCACCCACAGCACCCACACACCACACACCACACACCACCCACACCACCCACGCCACCCACGCCACCCACGCCACCCACACCACCCACACCACCCACACCGCCCACACCGCCCACACCACCCACACCGCCCACACCACCCACACCACCCACAGCACCCACACCACCCACACCACCCACAGCACCCAGACCACCCACACCAGCCACACCACCCACACCACCCACACCACACACACCACCCACACCACCCACACCGCCCACACCGCCCACACCGCCCACACCACCCACACCACCCACACCACCCACACCACCCACACCACCCACACCACTCACACCACTCACACCACACCACACACACCACCCACACCACCCACACCACCCACACCACCCACACCACCCACAGCACCCACACCACCCACACCACCCACACCACCCACAGCGCCCACACCACCCACGCCACCCACACCGCCCACGCCGCCGCTCACAGCAGCCGGTGAAGTTGCGGGGCACAGCTTCTGGGGGTGGGGGTTGGGGTAGTGGTGGGGGTGGTGGTGGTGGGGGTGGGGGGGGTGGTGGTGGTGGTGGTGGTGAGGGTGGGAGGGGTGGGGGTTGGGGTGAGGGTGGTGGTGGCGGTGGTGGTGGGGGTGGTGGGACTTTGCCCAGATCTTTCAAGGATTTGTGAGCTCCTCACACAATCCACCCTGGATAAACCCAGGATGGATCGTAGGCAGGCCAGCCTAAATGTTTCTAACTGGCGAAGATGTTCCATTAGGGTGGTCCACGTTTCGCAAGCGTAGAGAAGGGAGGGAATGACTGTGGCCGAGAAGACCTGAAGCTTAGTGCGGAGCGACAGACCAGGTAGCTTCCACACAGCATTACGCAACCGATGAAAAGATATTGCCACTCAACTGATTAGGAAGTGAGACCTCTGCTGTTAAACTGGAGCCAGTCATAAGCACACTGGCCAGGTATGGGAAACTCTCCACTCTCTCCACAACTGCCCCATCACCGATTGGGAGTTGTGGGGGTGGAGTGTCCGATGGTACAAAATACCCTGGCAGGTGCTTAGTTTTGTGGGGGCTGATGGTAAGGCCCCACCTCTTAGTGGCAAGCTCCAGGTTCAGCAGCAGAGCCTCCAACTCCTCCTCTGAGTGAGCAGCAATTACCAGATCATCGCCATACGTAACATGGTTGAGCAATAGGGAGCCATCCCTTGACCGCACCCGGGTATCGATCAGCCTCCCATTGTATCTGTACCAGATTGAAATTCTTCCAGTACAGCTATTGTAGGCTTCACGAACTACGTGGTCGAAATAGATGTTAAATGATGTGGGAGCCAGAGTACATCCCTGTCGCACCCCAAGGTGAACAGGGAATGGCTCTGACTCTCGGCCACATAATTTTACCCGGGCCCGATCACCATCATGAAGGTCCTTAATGATCGTGAGCAGATGGTCAGGGACTCCGAAAGCACGAAGAACTACCCAGAGCCCAGGCCTACTGATGGTATCATAGGCCTTGACCAGGTCAATAAAGCAGAGATGTAGGTCTTGTTGGAATTCCCTACACCTCTGCTGTAGCAGACGGACAGAAAATATGGCATCTGTGCAAGAACGCTCTTTCCTGAAACCGCATTGGGGCTCCGCAAGCCTCTCCTCAGCGTGCCTGGCAAGGCGATGTTGAATAATCCTTGCCAGGACCTTTCCCGGCACACTGAGGAGTGAGATGCCCCTGTAGTTGTTACAGTCTGTGCGGTCCCCCTTCTTTAAGAGGGAGGTCCCCCTTCTTAAAGAGGGGGACCACCAGGGCATCCTTCCAGTCCTGCGAAACTTGTTCAGTGGTCCAGACTTGTTATGATGTCATGTAGGGCAGTCTGTGCACAAACGCCACCCTCCCTCAGCATTTCGCTTGGGAGATCATCTCTGCCTAGTGCCTTTCCTGTTCTCAGACTCTGGATCGCCCTCAGTACTTCGTCAACAGATGGCACCTCAGCCAGCCACTCACACGGGGTGACTTCTTCTTCCAATATTTGAGGCACTGCAGCCTCGGTAGGGCCATCCCCATTTTGTGCCACGATGTTTTCCTGGCTGAGGGATGTCCCCTCCCCCAGGACCTCACAGAAATGCTCAGCAAATCTGCAAACCTGTTCCTGGGGGTTGGAGATTGGATCACTGTTCTTTCCCCTAATGATGGTAATAGGTGTGGCGCTGCAGGTTACTTTTTTTATGGAATTAAAGAGTGATTTGTGATCGCGGGCCACTGAGGCAGACTCCATTTCTTCAGCAACCCGTGACCACCACCCATCCTTGCAGCGCCTCACGGCTCTCCAAACCTCTGAGCGAAGGCTGTGATAAGCCTCCTCATTCTCCGACGTGGGATTCTGTAGCCGATGACAGTGGGCCTGTCGCTTTTTCTCAACCATCCTGAACACCTCCTCTGTCAGCCAGGGTCTATGGGGAGGTCTGGACCGCGTACCCAAAGCAGCCATTGCAGCTGCATGAGCCACAGTCCTAAACCTCGCTCATTTACCCTCGACACCAGGAGGAGTGGGGGACGATGCCAACCCCAGCCGCAAGTGTTGATTAAATTCTCGCTTGCAACTTTCATCAGCTAGCTGAGATTATGCCACTAAGGGTTTTAATGGGGTCCTGGGTGTACACCCACCACTGGAGTGGAAGAATGGCAGGCGCATCTTACAGATGACAAGTCGATGGTCAGTGAGCAGATCATCTCCACCGTAGGTCCTGGTGTCAAGGACATGGGCCCGCATCCGCTGTTCCGTCACCATGTAGTCCAGCAGATGTTCTTGCTTGGACCAGGCATGCATCCATGATGTTGTGTGGATGCGCCGATGCTGGAACAGCGTATTCATAATTACAAGCCCCATGGGCTGCACAAAAATCTAGCAACCTCCTGCTGTTGTTATTGAGCTGATCTGGCCCATGCCTTCCAATTACTCCAGGCCAGGTGCTAGCATCATTACCAACTCGGGCATTGAAGTCACCCCACAAGATGACTCTAACCTGAGGGGCCACTTTAGCCAGCACCTGTAACAGGAGGTCATAGAAGGCATCTGACTCATCGGCCTTGCCTGCATTCCTCCACCGATGTTTGTCTTCAGTGGGGGCATAAATAACCACCACCACCACCACCACTCCTCACCTCTGGTTGATGAGAAGGCGAGCCCAAAGTAGCCTAGGGCTTACAGCTTCCCACACCTCACCGCCACGCTCCCACGCCCCCTTCATTCTTTTGTTCAGAAGATGAGCCACACCCTGTTGTTTTTCAGTCTGCTGCCCCGAGTAGAGGACTGTCCACCCCTCATGGTGGCAGGAGCCAGAGCCGGTCCACCGGACCTCCTGAATGCCACAGAGATCCAGGCGGTACTGGTCCAGCTCCCGACAGAGGAGTGGCAGTCTCTCCTCCGCAGTGAGCGTTTGAACGTTCCACATGGCCACACGTAGTGGCTTTTTGCTGTTTCTGGAGGAGCCCCGAGGGTACAGATTCAGTCTCCTGGCTGCGCCAAATAGGATTTGGCCAGGAGACGTCATTGACGCCTGTCTCCGGCAAAACAACCCCCTACCTCCTCGTGGTGCCGGACGGGCAACGCTGTCGTGGACAGTGCTGTGGGGGGAGGGCCAATTTCCGATTGGCCTCTCCCCTCATGGCATCTGTGACCACCACAGTAGCTAAACGGGGGCTCTGGACGGGTGCGACGGGCTGGTAACCCCTCCACCTTCAATTAATTAACGCTCAACCATGATGGAAAATTTAGCACAGACTCACACACACACGAGTTCTTCAATCCACACCAACTCGGCCGCTCACGACCCTCCCCTGCCTAACCCGCGGACTCGGCCATCGTGAACCTCCCCCCCTGCCCCCCCCCCCCCCCCACCAGGGATCTACATCCTGGACCGGCGCTACCGTTCTGCGGACGAGTCTTGCAACCAGCTCACCTCCTTCCTCTACAGCTTCTCGCAGCAGACGCGGCGACAGCGAATCATCCAGCGCAACCGCACGGAGCGCCTTTCGGACCTGCTGGACTGGAGATACCTGGGCAAGGTACGCGGCGGGGGGGGGGTACACGGAGGGGGTACACGGAAGGGGGTCGATGGAGGGGGGGTGGACGGAGGGGGTACACAGATTGAGGGGCATTGCCAGGGTCGGGGATGGGTGGTAGGGGAGGTTTGGTAGATACCAGTTTGTGTCGGTGTAACTGCGTCTGTATCTACTTAACTGTGTGTGTGTGTAGCTGTGTTTATGTAACTTTGCGTGTGTAGTTGCGTGTGTTTGTGTCTGTGTTTAGCTGTGTGTATAGCTGTGTAGCGTGTAGCTGTATTTGTGTTACTGTGTGTGTAACTGTAGTTGTGTATGTGTCTGTGTTCATCTGTGTGTGTGTGTGTGTAACTCTGTGTGTGTGTAGCTGTGTGTCTTACTGTGTGTGTAACTCTGTGTGTGTCATTGTGTGTGTCTGTGTTTAGCTGTGTGTGTAGCTGTGTTTAGCTGTGTGTGTAGCTGTGTTGCATGTAGCTGTGTTTGCCGTAATGTGTGTGTAACTCTGTGTGTGTCATTGTGTGTGTGTGTGTTTAGCTGTGTGTATAGCTGTGTAGCGTGTAGTTGTATTTGTGTTACTGTGTGTGTAACTGTAGTCGTGTATGTGTCTGTGTTTATCTGTGTGTGTGTGTAACTCTGTGTGTGTAGCTGTGTGTGTTACTGTGTGTGTAACTCTGTGTATGTAGTTGTGTCTGTGTTTAGCTGTGTGTAGCTGTGTTTCATGTAGCTGTGTTTGCCGTAATGTGTGTGTAACTCTGTGTGTGTCGTTGTGTGTGTGTTTGTGTGTTTAGCTGTGTGTATAGCTGTGTTGCGTGTAGCTGTATTTGTGTTACTGTGTGTGTAACTGTAGTTGTGTATGTGTCTGTGTTTATCTGTGTGTGTGTGTGTGTAACTATGTGTGTGTGTAGCTGTGTGTGTTACTGTGTGTGTAACTCTGTGTGTGTAGTTGTGTGTGTCTGTGTGTAGCTGTGTGTGTAGCTGTGTTGCATGTAGCTGTGTTTGCCGTAATGTGTGTGTAACTCTGTGTGTGTCGTTGTGTGTGTGTGTGTGTTTAGCTGTGTGTATAGCTGTGTAGCGTGTAGCTGTATTTGTGTTACTGTGTGTGTAACTGTAGTTGTGTATGTGTCTGTGTTCATCTGTGTGTGTGTGTTACTCTGTGTGTGTAGCTGTGTGTCTTACTGTGTGTGTAACTCTGTGTGTGTAGTAGTGGGGAGCGGTAGTGTAGCGGTTGGTGCGCTGCGCTATGAACCTGGAAACCCGGGTTCGATTCCCGCTCACGGCCAACACCAGTGACGATTATCTGAACCGGTCCCGGGCCTCCCCTAGGTCGACTCAGCCTCAAATGAGTACCTGGAGCGGTGTGTAAACATTGCCACTAGGGAGACAAAGGCGGTCGGGCGTGGTGCTGGCCACCCACCCCCTCGTGTACCGATCCGGCCTTCATAGGTGCTCGCTAACAGCACTTGCCCCTACAGTCTGTTAAGGCTATATGGGGGATCTTTGTCTTTTGTAGTTGTGTGTGTCTGTGTTTAGCTGTGTGTGTAGCTGTGTTGCATGTAGCTGTGTTTGCCGTAATGTGTGTGTAACTGTGTGTGTGTCATTGTGTGTGTGTCTGTGTGTAGCTGTGTGTGTAGCTGTGTTGCATGTAGCTGTGTTTGCAGTAATGTGTGTGTAACTGTGTGTGTGTCATTGTGTGTGTGTCTGTGTGTAGCTGTGTGTGTAGCTGTGTTGCATGTAGCTGTGTTTGCAGTAATGCGTGTGTAACTCTGTGTGTGTCGTTGTGTGTGTGTCTGTGTTTAGCTGTGTTTGTGTAGCTCCTCGTTGGTGCAGGACGGCAACGCTGTGTTGGGCAGTGCCATGGGGGGAGGGCCAATTGCGATTGGCCATTCCCCTCATGGCGTTTGTAGCCACCACAGCGGCCAAAGGGGGCTCTGGGTGGGTGTGAGGAGCCGGTAACCCCTCCACCTTCAATCCAAGAACCACTAAACCATGAAAAAAATATATCTAATTATTAAGCTTGTGCCAGAGGCCCCGGGGGGACAGGTATCCATGACGTCTCCTGGCCAAACCCCATTTGGCGGAGCCAGGAGACTGAATCCTTACCCTCGGGGCTCCTCCAGAAACAGCAAAAAACCACTACGTGTGGCAACGTGGAATGATCACACGCTCACTGCGGAGGAGAGGCTGCCACTCTTCTGTCAGGAGCTGGACCAGTATCGCCTGGATCTCTGTGGTATTTTGGACGTCCGGTGGACCAGCTATGGCTCCTGCCACCATGAGGGGTGGACAGTCCTCTTCTCGCGGCAGGAGACTGCCAAACAACAGGGAGTGGCTCTTCTTCTGAGCAAAAGAATGAAGGGGGCATGGGAGAGTGGTGGTGAGGTGTGGGAAGCTGTAAGCCCCAGGCTGGGCTCACCTTCCCATCAACCAGAGGTGAGGAGTGGTAGTCGTGGTTACTTATGCCCCCACAGAACACGAACATCAGTAGAGGGATGCAGGCAAAGCCGATGAGTCAGTGCCTTCTATGACCTCCTGTCACAGGTGCTGGCTAAAGTGGCCCCTCGGGGTAGAGTCATCTTGTTGGGTGACTTCAATGTCCAAGTTGGTCATGATGCTGGCACCTGGTCTGGAGTGATTGAAAGGCATGGGCCAGATCAGCTCAATAACAACGGCAGGAGGCTGCTAGGCTTTTGTGCAGCCCATGGGCTTGTAATTACCAACACGCTGCGGGTCCAAGCAAGAAGATCTGTTGGACTACATAGCGACGGAACAGCAGATGCGGGCCCATGTCTTTGACACCAGGACCTGCCATGGAGTTGATCTGCCCACTGACCATCGACTTGTCATCTGTAAGATGCGCCTGCCATTCTTCCACTCTGTTGGTGGGTGTATGCCCAGGACCCCATTCAAACCCATAGCGGCCTGGTCTCGGCTAGCTGATGAAAGTTGCAAGCAAGAATTTAATTACAGCTTGCAGCTGGGGTTTGCATCGTCCCCCACTCCTGATGTCGAGGGGAAATGGGCGAGGTTTAGGACTGTGACTCATGCAGCTGCAATGGCTGCCTTGGGTACGCGGTCCAGACCTCCCGAGAGACCCTGGCTGACAGAGGAGGTATTCAGGATGGTTGAGAAAAAGCGACAGGCCCACTCTAATCGTCTACAGCATTCCACGTCAGAGAATGTGAGGAGGCTTACCGCAGCCTTCCCTCGGAGGTTCAGAGAGCCGTGAGGCGCTGCAAGGATGGGTGGGGGTCGCGGGTTGCTGAGGAGATGGAGTCTACCTCAGTGGCTTGCGATAACAAATTGCTGTTTAATTCCATCAAAAGAATTACTTATAGTGCCACACCTATCACCATCATTCGGTGAAAGAACAGTGATCCAAGCTCTGACCCCCAGGAACAGGTTTGCAGATTTGCTGAGCATTTCTGTGAGGTCCTGGGGGAGGGAAAATCCCTCGGCCTGGAAAACGTGGGACAAAATGGGGATGGCCCTGCCGAAGCTGCGGTGCCTCAAATATTGGAAGAAGTCTTCACCCCTTGTGAGTGGCTGGCTGAGGTGCCATCTGTTGAGGAAGTACTAAAGGCGATCCGGAGTCTGAGACGAGGAAAGGCAGCGGGCAGAGATGATCTCCCAAGCGAAATGCTGAGGGAGGGTGGCGTTTGTGCACAGACTGTCCTACATGACATCATAACAACAGTCTGGACCAGTGGACGGGTTCCACAGGATTCGAAGGATGCCCTGGTGGTCCCCCTCTTTAAGAAGGGGGACCGCACAGACTGTAACAACTACAGGGGCATATCACTCGTCAGCGTGCCGGGAAAGGTCCTAGCAAGGATTATTCAACATCGCCTCGCCAGGCACGCTGAGGAGAGGCTTGCGGAGCCCCGGTGTGGTTTCAGGAAGGGGCGGTCCTGCACGAATGCCATTTTTTCTTCCCGCCTGCTACAGCAGAGGTGTAGGGAATTTCAACAAGACCCACATCTTTGCTTTATTGACCTTGTCAAGGCCTATTATACCATCAGTAGGCCTGGGCTCTGGGTTGTTCTTCGTGCTTTCGGAGTCCCTGACTCTGCTCAAGATAATTAAGGACCTTCATGATGGTGTGTGGGCCCGGGTAAAGCCACGTCGACGGGAGTCAGAGCCATTCTCTGTTCACCGTAGCATGCGACGGGGATGTCTTCTGGCTCCCACATTATTTAACATCTATTTTGACCACGTAGTTCATGAAGCCTTCGATGGTTCTACCGGAGGAATTTCCATTTGGTACAGATACAATCGGAGGGTGATTGATGCCCGGGTGCGGTCAAGGGACGGCTACCTATTGTTCAACCATGTTACGTATGCCAATGATCTGGTGATTTCTCCTCACTCAGAGGAGGAGTTGGAGGCAGTGCTGCTGAACTTGGAGCGTGCCACTAAGAAGTGGGGCCTTACCATCAGCCCCACCAAAACTAAGCACCTGCCTGGGTATTTTGTACCATCGGACACTCCACCCCCACAACTCCCAATTGGTGATGGGGCAGTTGTGGAGGGAGTGGAGCATTTCCCATACATGGGCAGTGTGCTCATGACTGGCTCCGGTTTGACAGCAGAGGTCTCACTCCGAATCATTATCTTTTCATCATTTGCGTAACGCTGTATGGAAGCTCTCTGGTCTGTCGCTCCACACACTCTTCTCTACGCTTGCGAAATGTGGACTCCCCCCTAATGGAACATCTTCGCCAGTTATAAACATTTAGGCTAGCCTGCCTACGATCCATCCTGGGTTTAACCAGGCTGGATTGTATGAGGAGCTCACAAATCCTCAGTGAGCTCCTCCAGCAGGCAAGGCTGCGTTGGCTGGGTCATGTAGCCCGCATGCCCAGCCACCGCATGCCCAAACAGCTTTTGTTTCGGCTTGATAGAGGGGGCTAAACAGGCACGTCACGGGCTAGAAAAGAGATGGAGTGACGTGGTACAGAAGGACGTGGAGCTGAGTGGACTTTGCGATGACTGGTACCAGCGGTGTCAAGATCGGCCTCTGTGGAGGAGGCTCGTGAAGGACGCCACTGGGTAGTTGGAGGAAGTCGCCCTCCAACAACAACGAAGGAGGGACGCTCACAACAACGAGCGGAGTGCCGGGTGGCTAAAGCACAGCAGGTTGCCACACTAGGGGGCACAGGTGGTGCATCAGCCAGTCATCTCAGTCATCTCAGTCAGTCAACCTGTGGCACCTGGGTCTGCCCCGTGACCTCCTGCCGCCGGGCGTTCGATACTTCACGTGGTCTCACCGTGGACATGGCCTGGCACAAGCGTCGTGGCGATGTCACCGCCACTTAGTGGTGAATGGTGGTTGTTATTGTGTAGTTGTGTGATTGTAGCTGTGTGTGTAACTCTGCATGTGTGTAGCTGTGTCTCACTGTGTGTGTGCTCGCTAACACCACTTGCCCCCACAGTCTTTCAAGGCTTACGGGGAATTTGTGTCTGTGTGTGTGTAGTATTATTCCCACGCTCGTCACATGGCCCTGTCCAAGGCCTTTCCTGACACGTTCAAGTACGAACTCTCTGAGTATGAGGAGGTGAGTCTCCTTCTTCTCCCTCCACTCCCCTCCCTCCATTCGCTCCCTCCCTCCCTCCCCTCCCTCCACTCCCTCCACTCCCTCCACTCCCCTCCCTCCATTCGCTCCCTCCCCTCCCCTCCCTCCATTCGCTCCCTCCCTCCCCTCCATCTCTCCCTCCCTCCTCTCCATCTCTCCCTCCACTCCCCTCCCTCCACTACCTCCCTCCCTCCACTCCCCTCCCTCCATTCGCTCCCTCCTTCCCCTCCCTCCCTCCCTCTGCTCCCTCCCTCCCCTTCCTCTCTCCCTTCCCACGCCTCCCTCCACTACCTCCCTCCCTCCCCTCCCTCCCTCCCTCCCCTCCCTCCACTACCTCCCTCCCTCCCTTCTTCCCTCCCCTCTCTCTGCTCCCTCCCTCCCTCCACTACCTCCCTTCTTCCTTCCCACCCCTCCCTCTCTCCCTCCCCTCCCTCCGCTCCCTCCACACCCATCGCCGGTGTTGGTGGCCAACAGCGCAAATGGAACTCGGGTTTGCCGGGTTCATAGAGCGGTGCGCTGGCCACGTACAAACTCCCCCCCCTCACCTCCTCCTCTTGTCTCCCCCTCTCCCACCCCCACCTCCCCTTCCGCACCAGACGTCCGGCTTCCGCTACCCCCGCCCCGCGTCGGTGCCCCCGTCCCCGGCGGTGTCGCGCCCCTCCAGCCCGCGGGGCAGCAGCGCCGGCGGTTCGGACGACGGCGGCGGCGGCGGCGGCAGCCCCGGGCCCTCGTCGTCGGCCAGGGGGAGCCGCTCCGGGGACGACGACGAGGACGAGGAGGACGAGGACGCCCGCAGCGAGAGCGGGGTGGGCTGCGACAACGGGGAGTTTGCTCGCGACGACGCCGACGACGACGACGACGACGTCGACGGGGAGGGCGACTGCTACGGCGGCGGGCGACGAGGTGGGAGAGGGCGAGGAGGAGGCGGTGGTGGAGGTGGAGCGGATGACGACGACGAGCACTACGACGAGGAGCTGGAGGCGGAGAAGGATCGGCGCAACATCCGCACGCCGTTGGGGTTCGGCCCCGTCAGAGCGAGCGACTCGCTCGCGCAGTAGAGAGGGGCGGAGGGGCGCGGGGCGGGGGTGGAGATGTCACCATGGTCACCGCCAACACCACCGCCATCACCGCAACCGCCACAACCACCGCCATCACCGCAGCCACATCCACTGCAACCACCACAACCACCGCCACCACAGGCATCACCACAGCCACCACCGCAACCGCCACAACCACCGCCATCACCGCAGCCACATCCACTGCAACCACCACAACCACCACCACCACAGGCATCACCACAGCCACCACCACAACCGCCGCAACCACCGCCATCACCGCAGGCATCACCACAGCCTCCACAACCACCACAACCACCCCCACCACCGACATCACCACAATAGTTAAAATAGTTATAATGGCTACTGTAGTAGCGTTGTGATGGGTAACGCGCACGCGTGTGTGTGTGTGTGTAGTTAACGCGTATGTTTGGTGTTGAAGTGACCGCAGTAAAGCAAAGTTAAAATGCCAGCCTTCGCTGTGACGACATTCTACCATCTTAGGGTTTAAAATGACCGCCGTTACCATAGCGATAATCTACTGTCATGTGGTTTCAAATGGTTACCGTAGCGACATTCTACTGTTGTGTTAAAATGGCCGCCACCATAGCAACATTCTCCTATCATGGGGTTTCAAATGGCCGCCGTTGCCGTAGCGACTGTCTCCTGTCATGGGGTTTAAAATGGCCGCTGTTGCCGTAGCGACTGTCTCCTGTCATGGGGATTAAAATGGCCACCGTTGCCGTAGCGACTGTCTGCTGTCATGGGGTTTAAAATGGCCGCCGTTGCCGTAGCGACTGTCTGCTGTCATGGGGTTTCAAATGGCCACCGTTACCGTAGCAACTGTCTGCTGTCATGGGGTTTCAAATGGCCACCGTTACCGTAGCAACTGTCTGCTGTCATGGGGTTTCAAATGGCCGCCGTTACCGTAGCAACTGTCTGCTGTCATGGGGTTTCAAATGGCCGCCGTTACCGTAGCGACTGTCTGCTGTCATGGTGTTTAAAATGGCCACCGTTACCGTAGCGACTGTCTACTGTCATGGGGTTTAAAATGGCCGCCATTACCGTAGCAACTGTCTGCTGTCATGGGGTTTCAAATGGCCGCCGTTACCGTAGCAACTGTCTGCTGTCATGGGGTTTCAAATGGCCGCCGTTACCGTAGCGACTGTCTGCTGTCATGGGGTTTCAAATGGCCGCCGTTACCGTAGCGACTGTCTGCTGTCATGGGGTTTCAAATGGCCGCCGTTACCGTAGCGACTGTCTGCTGTCATGGGGTTTAAAATGGCCGCCGTTACCCATCGTGCAGTCTACTGTCGTGGAGTTAGCAATGGTTACCGTAGCGACAATCTACTGTCGTGCAGTTTAAAATGGCCACGTTTTACCGTAGTGACATTCTACTGTCGAGGAGTTAAAAACGGTTACTGTAGAGACAATCTACTGTCGTGCAATTTTAAATGGCCACTGTTAGCATAGCAAAATTCTACCGTCTTGGGGTTTAAAATGGCCGCCGTTACCGTAGCAACAATCTACTCTCATGGGGTTTCAAATGGTTACCGTAGCGACGTTCTACCATCTTTAAGTTTAAAATGGCCGCCGTTACCATAGCAACATTCTACCGTTGTGGTGTTTGAAATGGCCACCGTTACCGTAGCGACATGCTGTCATGGGGTTTAAAATGCCCACCATTGCCACGTGGAAATAAAAAAAATGGGGCTTCTACTGTAGTAGGGGCAGGGGCAAAACGTCTATCGCATGCACGTGTGCGTGTGCGCGCACGTGAGTAGCGGTTACCGGTTACCGCTGCACCGCGCTATGGACCATAGCGACCCGGATTCGATTCCCGCGCACGGCCACCACCACCACCACCAATGCCGGCGACGGTGATTTTTCTGAACCGGTACCTGGGGCCTCCCCTGCCCCTCTCTCGGTCAACTCAGCCCCGTCAAACGAGTGAGTCGGTGCGGCGCTGTGCAGCGGTGTGGCCCTCCGCTCGTCGCCACGGCGCAAGTTTTCGAGACGTCGGACGTGCCTGCCTTCGCATCCGTGCGTCCGTCCGTGTGTCCATCTGTGCGGTCGCGCGTCCGTGCGTCCGTCCGTTCGTGCGTCCGTGAGTGCTAAGATAAAATAAAGGGGAGTGGGCGGCGCGACTGAACCTCTCCACGTAATTCAACATCGCTCGTGCCGTGACCGAAATCCACCCAGAGATGTTGACTACCTCGCCTGGTACGTAGGAGGATCGTGGGTTCGATCCTGACGCTGACGATGCCTGCTGCTGTGTATCTGGAGTTTGTGTGTTCTCTCTCTTTTTCCCCGCGGTCACGTGGATTTTTCTGCGGATCCTCCGATTTTTCCCTGCACGTTTAGAATCGTGCATTTAGAGTATTTGCTGCAATAAATTTCCACGTGATGATGATGATGATGATATCAGTCACTTCGTTGATCTGCTATCATTTGTGATTGCCAGGCCACTTCTGAAAAAGATCTACATAGTTCGGTGGGCCTTAGCTGCTACAAATAAAAAAAAGAGTTTAGTTTATAGTTTAGTAAACACGGCCGCCTTGAACAAGTCAGTGGGTGAGTGAGCGATTGGGTTGAGTGTGTGGGTGAGTGAGTGGGTGAGTGAGTGTATGAGTGAGTGTGTGTGAGAGTAGTGTGTGAGTGGCTGAGTGAGTGAGTGGGTGAGTGGATGGGTGATTGAGTGAGTGGTGTAGTGAGTTGGTGAGTGAGTGAATGAGTGTGTGAGTGAGTGAGTGGTGTAGTAAGTGGGTGGGTGAGTGGGTGGGTGATTGAGCGAGTGGTGTAGTGAGTTGGTGAGTGAGTGAGTGGTGTAGTAAGTGGGTGGGTGAGTGGGTGATTGAGTGAGTGGTGTAGTGAGTTGGTGAGTGAGTGAATGAGTGTGTGAGTGAGTGAGTGGTGTAGTAAGTGGGTGGGTGAGTGGGTGGGTGATTGAGCGAGTGGTGTAGTGAGTTGGTGAGTGAGTGAGTGGTGTAGTAAGTGGGTGAGTGAGTGGGTGATTGAGTGAGTGGTGTAGTGAGTTGGTGAGTGAGTGAGTGGTGTAGTAAGTGGGTGGGTGAGTGGGTGGGTGATTGAGTGAGTGAATGGGTGAGTGAGTGGTGTAATGAGTGGGTAGGTGAGTGAGTGGGCACTGCTTCACTAGGGACTCCCCCCCCCCCCCCCACGGCATATCTCCCCCCTACTTCTAAAAGATATCTCGGCTCAGTTCAATACAAAGCCGTGCCAACTTTCGTCTCTCCTCGTTGCTGGAAGACCCTTGAATTGACCTTCATCCGACATTGGAGACGGGGGAGACATGGTGGAGGCAGTGAGTATGAACTCACAAGATCTGGGGCGCCACGGGTGGAGAAATGTTAATCACCTCGCCTGGTCTACAGGAGGTCGTGGGTTCGACGCCAACCCCTGACGCCTGCTGCTGCTGCTGTATATTTGGAGTTTGCGTGTTCAACCGGTTGTTCCCCTCCACATTTGGAATCAACGTCGCGCGTCCAGGGTATTCGGCCGCTGTAACTGTCCGCACGATGAGCGATGTTTCTGTGATGGCCAGGGGACAACTTCTGACACAGCCTAAGTGGGGCCTGTCGCTCAATGCGAGGATCTGGTTCCCTACCGTGCATCGAGCGGAATGGATAGTATTCTGTCGACGCTTGCGGGACCAACCGATATGCCGCCAAGGCCCCGCCTATGCGTCAGTGCCAGTCCGTCTGGGTGTCATTGAACACGTGACACAGCATGGATGTGACGATGCAATTTAGGCATTCTGCCATCCAATCGGTTTGTGAATGGTATGGGGGAAGTGTGTACTCTCTTAGTGCCTCTCTCTGTGAGCATGAGAGTGTAATCCAAAGGGCACGTGAGTATGAGAGTGTAATCCAAAGGGCATGTGAGCATGATAGTGTAATCCTAGTGACATGTGAGTATGAGAGTGTAATCCTAGTGACGTGTGAGCATGAGAGTGTAATCCTAGTGACATGTGAGTATGAGAGTGTAATCCTAGTGACATGTGAGCATGAGAGTGTAATCCTAGTGACATGTGAGTATGAGAGTGTAATCCTAGTGACATGTGAGCATGAGAGTGTAATCCTAGTGACATGTGAGTATGAGAGTGTAATCCTAGTGACATGTGAGCATGAGAGTGTAATCCTAGTGACATGTGAGTATGAGAGTGTAATCCTAGTGACATGTGAGTATGAGAGTGTAATCCTAGTGACATGTGAGTATGAGAGTGTAATCCTAGTGACATGTGAGCATGAGAGTGTAATCCTAGTGACATGTGAGTATGAGAGTGTAATCCTAGTGACATGTGAGCATGAGAGTGTAATCCTAGTGACATGTGAGTATGAGAGTGTAATCCTAGTGACGTGTGAGTATGAGAGTGTAATCCTAGTGACATGTGAGTATGAGAGTGTAATCCAAAGGACGTGTAAGCATGAGAGTGTAATCCTAGTGACATGTGAGTATGACAGTGTAATCCTAGTGACATGTGAGAATGAGAGTGTAATCCTAGTGACATGTGAGTATGAGAGTGTAATCCTAGTGACACATGAGTATGAGAGTGTAATCCTAGTGACACGTGAGTATGAGAGTGTAATCCTGGTGGCATGTGAGTATGAGAGTGTAATCCTGGTGACATGTGAGTATGAGAGTGTAATCCTAGTGACACATGAGTATGAGAGTGTAATCCTAGTGACATGTGAGTATGAGAGTGTAATCCTAGTGACATGTGAGTATGAGAGTGTAATCCTAGTGACATGTGAGTATGAGAGTGTAATCCTAGCTACATGTGAACATGAGAGTGTAATCCTAGTGACGTGTGAGTATGAGAGTGTAATCCTAGTGACATGTGAGTATGAGAGTGTAATCCTAGTGACATGTGAGTATGAGAGTGTAATCCTAGTGACATGTGAGTATGATAGTGTAATCCTAGTGACGTGTGAGTATGAGAGTGTAATCCTAGTGTCATGTGAGCATGAGAGTGTAATCCTAGTGACGTGTGAGTATGAGAGTGTAATCCTAGTGACATGTGAGTATGACAGTGTAATCCTAGTGACATGTGAGTATGATAGTGTAATCCTAGTGACATGTGAGTATGAGAGTGTAATCCTAGTGACATGTGAGTA